TCTTCCCCCCATATATTTTAAGGCCTCCCCCTACCCCTCAGAGTAATAGAGCTATTCCCTGTTGAGTTCTCCCCGCCCTTCCCCCCATATATGCATCGTGCTACTCTCAAATCTAGAGGGTCATAAAAAAAACTTAAACAGCGTTTTATAAATATCTCCTTCTAAAAGAAGATCTTGTGCTTCCTCGAATCACTTTTCCTAACCAAAACTTCGCCGAAAAGTCATATTTGCAAACCCGCCTAGGATCAAGAAAATCAGGTAAACAGTTCTCCTAATAAACCAATTTTCTAGCAAACTAAAAACTTAGTGTCTTAATGTATAATGACAAAGATAAACACCGGAACTAAATTTGAACACACTGAAAAAAATTTAAAAGGGTACCAACTATTTGTTTAAGGGTTTTCCGAAGTCCGCTGGACCAATGAATAGCGCACCTTTTTAACTGTTAAGGAGAAAAAAACCGCAAGTAAAGATTATTTTTTTCCTCTACAACTTTTTTCCAAATTATGCTCTTTCTCAAAAGTGATATTTTCAAAATTGGTTGGTTTCAGCTTCATTTAATTAGATTCGTGTTTGTTTATAGAGGACTTTAACTGCATTTGATTTACTAAGTAGATATAAAGAAAGCTCCTTCGATTGTTGGTGTTTGTTTTGAGTCTTGTTAAGTAAAGTTAAACACTGTTCACCTGTTGTGTGGTGATCATATTGTTTCTTCCATTAACTTGACATTGGCACTGGATGTTTAGAATAACTGACAATCATCGAGGGTGGTTATTAACGAGTTTGACGAACCATCCAATTAGCTGCGTCATGGCACAAGTAAATCCATAGTAAGGAAAAACTTCTCCTTCAATCGCTCTGATTCAAGATGAGAGGTGTTTTTGTCAAGTCCTTCTCCTCTCTGTTCACACTCGTGCTGATAATGCCCTCTGTTTTGGCAAGGAGTTTGCATAGCAGTCAAAACAAAGGTAAGAAAACATTTGCCTCACTTTGTAACGAGTGCTATGGAAGCGTGATTCTTTATTTTTCTTGCAAGGCTATTTCAGTAAGAAATTAAACCTAGCAGGGTTTACTACACGCGCTTAGGTTGGTCAAAGATCTAGAGCCATCGTGTTTCATACTGACGGATAAGCCCATTGCTATTTTGCATACCCACTTGACCACACTTAGATTTGAGAGAACACGAGAAACCTTTGCCGTAATTATACTATGTTATATACAACAAAACTATATTTATCGTTGAGAATTAACCGCCTTAGTTATTTGTATCGTTCTTGTTTATCGATCAGGTGATTGCCGTTCTCTGAAAATGAGAAACAACGCAGGAAATCACGCCAAGAAATGTTATCCTGGGTACCCTCGAAAACAAGTCTCCTATTTGCCTTACCGAAATTGCTACCGAAGATTCTTCGCAGGTATGAAACCACCGGAAGGTTTGCGAAGAAGCAATTCGCACAATCCCAATATCAGATATATCTGTCAGAGGCCAGATGAAAAACGCAAGAGTCAATTTGGAACAATGTTTGACGAAAGTTTGGGACTGGCCGTATTTTCAGCTTATACCTTAACAACCAAAGATATTGATTTCCAGCATCGAGCTCGCCCAGCTTCGTGGGCCAAAACACCAGGTATTTGCTTAAAATTTTGAGCTAAAATCGCTTTTTTTCGGAAATTTTCAAATTGTTGGAATCCTATCGCGAAATCAGAAGTGGCTGAGGTTCGAATCATACCGAGGGGCTCAACCTTTTAATCCATGTCCTTGCTCTCCCCCACACATCTTGATGACAAATACAAAACAAACCACGAAATGGTCCTCACAAGAGAGCTGCGTGCAATTAAAGAAGTAGCCCGCTAGTTTAGTTTCTTGTTCGTTGGGTAAAGCAACCGACAATGGAGGCTGAAGGTCGAATTGTTACGAGAGACTCGGGTTTCCTCTTTCTAATCTCACACTAGTCACAAATGTTTAAAATCTTCTTTTATCTTGAAAAAATAGGCATTGAAAATCAGGGAAGTGATGCAATATATCCGAGCTTACCATACATAAGAGGTCAATTGGTACCAGCACTTACTTTATCAAACACCGGAAAAGGTGACGAGGGTTGGCTATCGACTTTCACCTACACAAACGCTGTTCCACAACGGCCAGATTTTAATATGGGAGAGTGGCTTGAGTTTGAAAACAAGATTCGATCTTATGCCAGAAATGACTGCATACCGAATCGTGGCAAGCTTTATCTTCTAACTGGCACGTCATTCGTTCATTCCGAACCTGACTGGCCGATTTGGCCGAGAGATCCTAAGAGACAACCTTGGTTGGCTAATATCAAAGATAATTATCTCATTCCTGATAGTCCTCCGATAGCCATTCCAGTATCTTTGTGGACGGCTGGTTGTTGTATTGACTCGAAAAATGGAACTGTGACGGGGAATTTTGCGGTGATTGGGAACAACGAAGAAGATCCTCAACTGATGCACACGAGGCAAATTTCAGTAGAACAGTTGCAAAGTATCCTCAAACAAGACGTAAAAGCGAATGAGAATTCAA